AGTGATACTCTCGGTCGTTTTTGATGGAAATTTGGAGAGTATTATCATTTGGTTGGAGAGAATGAGCCATTTTAGAAGCAGAATTGAATAACTAGTGAATGTTTCTAATTGATGAGGGACTTTGAATAGTGATCTTATGATTGGTAATAAAAGTTTTTGTTAAAAATTTCAGCTTGAATTTCCCGATTATCCGTTGCTGCTGAAACAGGCCGTTTCGTTAGGAAGGTCATTGCTGGACCCATTGGTTGAATATTGCCATTTGTCTAATATTGAACAGGACGTGCTCTGTATTTCTTATCATCCACTTCAGTCTGAAATTAACAAAGTAAGCATTGCGTATTTGTCATTGTTTTGTCCTTCAGCATTTTTTTTTGTTTTGTTATCGCCTGATACACCTCCGTTTGAGTTAGTTTTTCTGGAGTAGCCGTGGAATTGCTTAAATTCTTTGAATTCGAGTTAATTTTAGGATGATTTGCTGAATGCGTTGTCGCTTGAATTCATCAATCGTGTAAACGAAGTGGGTGTTGATGTGCATCGATGCCTGGAATTCCCGTACAGTTCGAACATGCTGCAATTTGTTTGTGGTTTGGGACCGCGTAAAGCGGCCAATTTGTTGAAAATATTGAAGCAAAACGACAATCTGCTCGAAAGTCGAACCAAATTGGTCACTTTATGTCATATGGGACCAAAGGTGAGTGCACGTAGTCGTGTTTCTTTTTTTATTTGAATGCTGTTTTCCATTTTCCATTTTGACGAATTTTCATTGTTCATTTTATCAGTTTATTTGTTCCGTCGTAATGGATTGAATTTTAACACAGGTGTTTATGAACTGCGCAGGATTCATCAAGTTGGATACGGCGAAGGTGTCCGAAAGAACTGATGCTTACGTTGAGGTTAATCAATTCTCATTGCGTTTTTTTTGATGAGTGATTTCAGTTTATCGTTAAAAGGCCAACAGATTATTCGAGGAAACTTGCGTTTTCTGTGCAAAACTAAGTCTTAGAGAAACAGAATACATGTAATCCTTTACGTATTAGTAAGATTGCACCTTTAAGGTACTCGATGGATCGCGAGTTCATCCAGAAACTTACGAGTGGGCACGGAAGATGGCCGTTGATGCACTCGAAATAGACGATACAGCCGATCCGACAAGTGCTCTTGAAGAGATCCTTCAGAATCCAGACAAACTGAAGGTATGCCACGCAGGAAGAATCGTTTTTAGCAGTTGATTTCAGTTTGCAGACCGAAATTTTGTATCTCATGTGAGTTCAGCATGCTTCATGATCTGAGTGTGTAATTGGAATACTCGAATATTTCGCTATCATTTTAAACTTTCGTAGATTATACGTCGCCTATGCAAAGGCCGTGCACCTATCAATATCATATCAGTAATATCCATCCGCATATAAGTAAAATGAGATTGGGTTAACGATTGATTTGCTTTGAGGATCTGGATTTGGATGCATTTGCGGATGAATTGGCTCGACAGGGTTTCGGGAATAAAAGTATAACTCTGTACGATATTCGTGCTGAACTGAATCATCGCTACAAAGATTTGCGCATCCCATACGAAAGTCCATCACGTGAACGCATCTTTACAATGCTCACCAAGGAAACACCGGCATCAATTGGTTATTTCATTTTGATATTACGATTAGACATTTTTCATTCCAGTTGCTTTTAGTCTTTTGAATGTACATCATTGTTGGATAGTTGTTGTCGGTTTTCTTTCGAAATGCCATTCAGTTTTCTCTGCAGTCATAATTGAGGACTGATGAACAATGTTTTCTGTGAAAATGATTTTATGTTTTAATGTAGGTACTTAATTGTAAGTAAGTTTCATGTAAGTTTTTGCATATAGATTTTTTGCGTTTTTTGAACTTGGAACGATAAATTTTAGAATGTTATGGAGAGCATATGATGGTGTTTTTACAAATGCATGTCTTTCAGGAAAACTAATGTTAGCGCGTGTTCTGCATACAGTTTATCGTAAACCACGCGATCCGGAAGAGCGTGAACGAATGCTTCCGATTCGTGATGAACGAACCGGGCAGTGGAAGTGTCAGTATTGTTATAAACCTGATTTTAGTAATACGAATGAGGTAAGGGATGGATTTTTATCATTAATATAGTTGCTGTTTGCGTTATTAACATTTGTTGATAGTGAGCGTAAAAATTGATAAAGATGAATGAATTTCGGTGCGTTTTGACTTTATTAGGATATTGTTTGCAGTTGATAATATGTAATGTGTTTTCGAGTTGAAAAGAGTAAATTTCGGAAGGTATTATGCAATGACGGTTGTAGGTTTGGCAACATATTGACTCATGCCCAGGCCAGCCGGTTGGAGTGAAGGTCCGTTTCGACAACGGAATCACCGGATTTGTTCCGAATAAGTACATCTCGGATCGACCGGATTCTTTCGTAGATCCATCTGAAAGGATGCAAGTGAGTTTACGTTGTGTTCATGAAAGATAAGTTTGTCGTACATTTCGATGATGAATTTCATTCAGCCGATTTTTTTCAGCGTTGAATCACACTGTCAATTTTTTTCGCTGCATTTGTTTCGGAAAATTTTGTCGAGAGAACTCGTCTGGTAAGGTTGAATTTGCAGCGAAATCAACCGGTATACTGCCGTATTTTGGATTTGGATCCCGAAAGATTCTCAGCAACGTGTTCGTGTCGTACATCAGATCTGAGGGGTTTGAATCCTCAAAATAATAAATTAGACGATTATTTCGACAGTCAGAAAGCTTTGGCAAGTTTTCAGTTGATAGATTAATTTGTGTATCNATGGAAGATTGATTGATGCGATCATGTTTGAAAGAATTACGTTCAGTTTGACTCGATTTATAGTGTGATAGATTTTGTGATGAGTTTACGAATTTGTAGGAGGACGACGAAGCAGAACGGAAGATTAAAGAGCAGAAGAAAGTTCAGACGAATTTTGTGAAGAGAGTCATATCACATCCATCATTCCACAATGTCACCTACAGAGATGCTGAAAGGATGTTACAAAAATTCGAACAGGTAAGCAGCAATTTGTATCATCATTACTCTTCAGGTTTTTAAATTGTTATCATTTTGAATTGGTTTAAGTGAGCAGCAGATGAATAATGCCTTTGTAGGGTGAAGCAATAATAAGACCAAGCTCAAAATCAGTTTCGCATTTAACGGTTACATGGAAAGTGGCTGAAGGGATCTATCAACATATCGACGTGAAAGAAGAAGGCAAATTGCATCAATTCAGTCTCGGCAAAACACTACTCATTGGCAGTGACGTACGTTTTGTTTTAGTGAATATCATTCAAAATTTCTATTTTACATTCATTGTTTCTTGAAGTAATGAACAAAAGCATGTTCGGAAATTTGTTTTGTTTGTTCTCACTATTGGGAAGCTCGATGAAAGGATAGCGATATAATGATAATTGTTTCAGGAATTTGAAGATCTGGATGAGATCCTCGCACGTCACGTTCAGCCAATGGCCGGTTTTGCACGCGACGTTTTATCGCATAAATATTTCTTGGACGGTGTGAAAGCAGAAGATCGTGAAGCAATTGTAGCACATTTAACTGATGAAAGGAAGCGGGATCATACACGTATACCGTAAGCGTGATTTGAATTATTCATTGAGCNCAGTTTAGTTTTTAAATGACAAAATCAAATAATAGCGGACGCAGTGCGTGACTGAGCGTCAACATATTGAAATTATGGGAATTATCCATCAAGGTGGCAAGAAGTTGCTTCAAATCTTGATTGCACAGTAATGGATTTCGTATCGTAAAATTTATTCTCGTTTGATCGTGGACATTACTCACAATCGTGTATTGTAGATACACAATGACTCCTTCACAAGACTACCCCGGTAAATTCGTGCTGTCTTATATGCCTGTCGCGAAAGCGAGACACGAATATTTTACGGTGACTCCGGAAGGGTTTCGATTCAGACAGCAAATTTTTCCCAGCCTTTTGTCGATGCTCGCGTGGTTCAAGGAGCACTATCGGGAACCTCCGCCAGGCGGTTAGATCCTTTCATTTAAGTTTGTTTGTATCCAATCATTTAATTCTATTTGTCAGTTCTGTTTTCAATGTGACTTATTTGATGTGGTGACTTATTTTCAGTGTACGATGATTCAAGGCACCAACGGTGAATTTGAATCTTCATTGCATTTCTACTGATGATAATGAAGCAGCGGATCGCTTAAATTATTTTTTCTATCTCGTAGACGAAGTTTATTTGTGTACAGATATAATGTTGATTTGTGAATCATCCGAATTGTTCACTTTTTGAATTAGTAACATTTACTGTCAGAGAAGTTATTGTCTTGATGAGTATGACCACTAATAAAATCATTTTGGTTATTAATTTTGAGAATGTCGCTTTCATGACGGATTCTGAAGTGGTGACATAAATTGACTAGACTCAATTTGTTTGGGCTTTCTTCTGAAATTGCGTTCAATTTTCAAGATGATTGCTTATTTGTAATAATATTTGAAGTTATTTCTTTGAAATGAATGCTGAACGAATATCATCGAGTGTTGTGTGTGTTGTTTTCGGAAATTATCGGGTAAGTTGTTATGTACTATGCGGGCAATGGCCACTTGGCTGACCACATGGCTATGTTCTTGTGTCGAGAAAGAATCTTTCGTGTTGCGTGCATCAGACTGAATTTGAGTCCGTTTCGGAAGTGGTTCAGTCAATCAGTGAAAGTGTTTTCAGTGTTGAATCAATATGATAAATTTGTGTTTTGAACCAAAATGAATTGATATTTTTGTCTTTTGTTGTGAGTTGTTTGTTGTTATAATAGCGGTTTGTTTGTGTGACATTTGTACTTATAATGGTTATTTGCTGATTTGTTGATACCGAATATTATTATTGTTGTCTTGATCCATCCTCGCGTTGTTTCACTGTTATTATTGTCATTGTTTTCGTTGTTCTCATTAAGTTTATTGTTATTATTCTGGTGCGTCTCATTAACTATATATTAAACGCTGAACTATCGCATCTCTGTTCGTATTTGAAATCCAGTAAAAATTTCACAAAAAAGAATCAATTTCTCTAATTCCTTTAACACGACGAATCACAGATTGTTTTCACCTTTGTATGAAGTTGATGCGATAAATTGGAATTTGGAATTAAGTTCACTTGGTTGTCCATAAAAGGAATAAGGCTTGCCTGATTTGTGGATTCGATTAAGAGATGCCAAATTCATTAGAAGCAGTTTTGAGGGTCACTTCGAGATCAGTTAGTGTCAGCGTTATGGGATGAATGTGGACGAATGAATGAAGCTCAACGTTCTTATGCGAATACACTTTGCGTTGTTATTGAATGCAAACGAATAGCTTTCATGTTTCTTTGCATTTTATAAAGAGTTCAGTGTTTGTGATGGCAATAACTAATTTCATCATTTGAATGTTGTTATTGTTGGCTGGTTCTTACAAGCATAAATGGTTCTTCACATGCATACGCGAACAGAATTTATCAAAAAATCGTGTAGAATAACATGTTGATTTGGAATTGTTATTTAACAGTTGGCTTGAATAAATCGCAATTCCTCGCACTTACGATTAATTCTTCGTATAATTATTCAATAACCTGTGCAAACAACTATAAATAAGGCCCGTAATTTGCAGAATTCGAACATAACTTATCAAAAAATCTTGTAGAACAACATGATAATTTGGAGTTGTTATTGAACAGTTGGCTTGAATGAACCGCAATTCGTCGCACTTAATTCCTCGTATGATGTCGAAAAGTTAGTAAGTGGGTGCGATCTGCGTTCACATATGTACAGAAACAAAGCGAGTGCATATGGAGAGATGAACGAGTTGGAAAGATATTTATTGCATCAACGAAACGCAACAACAATAATGAATATATTAGATGAATTACATTAAAACTTTCAACACGTTTAATAATCGAACTATTCAATAAATAATCTGTGCAAACAACTATGAATAAGACCCGTAATTTGCAGAATGACCAATTACTAAGACATAACCTTTTCAACTAGTTGACGACACTTCAAAAAGCTGGCCAAGCACCTTGACACACCTATAGCTTGATCTCAGCCTTTTACCCATGTTCCAGCTGCAACTTCCGAAGATAGCATGTAAAAAAAAAGCCGCAAAGGGCTATTTGTGTCGTTCAAGGGTCAGCTGGGGTATTCCACTTAATAAATCCTGATTTTATGGAAGTTTGATGGCTGGCTTGAATCTCAGAAGGATCAACAGTCGGTTTCTGTGGCTATGGGCATGAATCAAATACAACAAATAATGACGGATCAACTAAATAGATAAATGGAAAACAGTAGTAGTGATGAGAATAATGTTATATAAACTAAATGATCGAATAATAATAATAATAAGTAAATGAACTAAAACAATAAATATAGAAGCGAATAAAGAATCGTTAACAAATCAATCACTTATCAAATATTGTAAAGCAACTGGAAGGGATTAATACAACGAAACACGATCATCAGATAACATCAGTCTAATGTGCAATCAATAATCTCTGAAATCTTCCGTCAGAAAATGCTGATCACAAGAACAACGCAAAAATGAATGAAACAAATCGACATTATGAGCAAACTTGAACATAAAAAAGTTAAAAATTGTCATATCATTGTAGCAAATAAAAAGCATCACGCGGATTTCAATAATTCGGAGCATTTGAAAGATATTCGAAGAAACTTAAGACGAAATGACTGATTCAAACATTCAGTTCATTATTTCACAATTAAGCTTCAGTTCATCACGGATTTATCACAATCAAGACATTCAATATTGGAGCAGCATCAAATGATTACTCTTATTTTGCAGAATAAGCTCAATCATTTGATTGATTATACGATAATATCATAAATAAATAATATCTTAATAAATATCTTAAATAATTTCTACACTTCAAAAAATTTACTGAAATTGGTGTGTGTGGCAAAATTAAGTACTGAAAATAACAAATGAACCTTTAAAAAGAGCATAAAACTGATTACACGAGGAGATTAATCACCGAGTAAACAAACTGACTTCATGATAAGATAAACTTGAACTGATAAGACATCAATTAAGAAGTTTTCGTTAAAACAAAAATTTCAATAAGAAAACACAAAACCAGGAACATTTAATCGAGAGAAGAAAAATTTACGCATATATAGATGTTGTCCATATATGTGCGTGTGTATGTATAATAATAAGAATTTGAGATCGTTTACGTTCAGAGCAACAATAATTCGAGAGA